GGAAATAAATATCCCCCATTATCATTGCACCAGCAATTGCCAGATAGGATGTTTATTGTCAGGACTCAGTTTAGGCATTATTGTAAGAAATAGCTAGTATTTTTATCTGTAAAAGAAATGTCTAGTCAAGGTAGTCTCTGGCTAAAAGTGAATAATGAGGCAAAATTAGTTAAGCCTTAAGTAGTGGAATGAGGTTTATATATACCGATTCTGTGTATACTTGCTAATACAGTGAAATAAGAGAGACAGCACATAGTATATGATGCACTTGATTACAGTAAGTGAATACAAATCAAGCCAGTTAACAAGTCCTCCACTATTAACTGATGAAGCATACAATCTAGTTGGCAATACAACTGCCTTACTGGGCTCTATGCATCAGAATGGGATGACATAAGCAGCTGAGTTGTGGTTTTATTTACGACAGCAAATCAGATTTAATTCAGAGATTATTTTAAAAAGTACTGTTTTAATGTGGAAATATTAAGCTGGATAAACCTTTAATCTCTCAGTATTTTACTAATTAATTTAAAGCAAGATAGTTTTTAACTATATGAAGTAGCCCTGGAGCTCAGAGACAAAATCTACAATAAAGTTTGGTGTGTGTGTGTGTGTGTGTGTGTGTGTGTGTGTGTGTGTGTGTGTGTGTGTGTGTGTGTAGGAACAACTTGAAGGAGTGTTTTTCTCTTTCCATCATTTGGGTTCCAAGAAATTTCTTGATGGCAAACACTATTACTCTCTAAGCTACTCTTCATGACCTAATATTAAATTTTAAGAAGATTTATTTGTATATTTTATACATTTGAATATTTTGCCTACTTATACCATGAGCAAGCCTGGTACTAGAGGCTAGAAGAGAGTGTCAGATACCCTGCAACTAGAGTTAAGGGATGATTGTGTGCCATTGTGTGGATGCTGGGCATTGGTCGTCTGCAAGAGCAATGGTTACTCTAATGTATTTAGCCACCTCTCCAGTCCCTTAAGTTTTATGTTTTCAGGTGGCACTACCTAAGATGATAAGGTTGGCTTTAGGTTTACAGTTTTCCATCCTCAGTCTTCTGAGTGTCTGCGACTGCAGGCCTATACCACCAGCTGGACTGATTCTAACTCCCTTTAATCTCAGTCTGTCATGCTTATGCCTTACATAAAAGTAGTTCTTAATAAGTGTCACCTACGATTCCATATAGAAACATAGATCTGTACATCAATGTACATACAGAAATGGAAGCATTTAGATTTCATTACACTTTCTACTTGTGATCTGATCTCTGTATGGTTTCTGTTTGACTTTCTTTGAAAATGATACCACATGCAGCCCCTCAAACATAATATTTACACCTTGAACTTCTGGTCTTCTTGGCTCTGCTATCTAAGGGCTGGTATGATAGGCATGTGCCACCATGCCCAGTTTTGTGCAGTGCTGGAAATGCATGTTGGGTGTGGTCCATACAGGTGTACCAGCTGACCTGTGTCTCCAGTTCTCAGAATATGGCTTCTTTAGAACTGTGAAAACATTAGTGGACACGGACATGATACTCCAACCTGAGCTTCAAGCAGAGCAAACTGCTGAACCTCACTAGATCATTGGCTTGCAGACATACACAAACATATTCACAGTCATTTGCAGATGTACACAGACATAGTCACAGTGATGTCCGCCTTATCTTCTTAGAGAGCTATTTTTATTATTTTTAATCATGTGTCTGTGTGGTGTATGTGTATAGGAGTGTGTGTATACGAGTACAGATACTCCTATAGGCCTGAAGCACTAGATCCTCTGGAGCTGGATTTACATACAGTTGTGAGCCCCACTGTGTGAATACTGTGACATGAACACAGAGCTATATCTATCTTTCAGCCCTCCCATACCTTTTCTTAAAAATGGCATTCCTTTAAAATTCTTAGAATGTTTTATTATTTCTTGTTCTCCTGAATTCTAAATAAGTATTATATTATCATCACTAATTGCTTGCTGACAAAACTATGCCTCCAGTCACACAGCCATGTCTTGTAACAGTAAGAGGTTCCAACAGCACAGAAAGATAGCAGTCACTTTTGGTGAGGCAGTGGCTAGAGAATTTGCCAAAAGCCACTTTCTTTGCTTATGGGATGGAAAAACTTCATTCCATCACCTGTCCATGCAAATGAAAACATAGTAGTACCCCAATTCTCTGAATTCTCTGACAGTGATGCACAATTGCTTTCTGCAGGGTCTTTGGCTCTTTCAATATATTTATATTGTCTCCAACAAAATGTAAAGCACTTACCTGTCATATCTGCCTTGGGTATGATACAAAGAAAAAGGTATAACCCTGAAGTTAGACCACCTTTGGGAACTTTCATAGCGCTGCTGAAGTATCTGAACTGTCAATCTTTATTCCTGAAGAAAAGTCCCCAGGGGAAAAGACTATTGTTTTGTAGCAGTCTGTACCATGATAGACGCTGACTGAGTGAAGATAAATAAATAGGGCAAGAGGAAGAAATCACAGAGAAGCCACTGGAAGTTCAATGGTTAGGCTTCATCCTTTATTAGGTAGTGAATAAAAGACAACTGACGCTTAAAACTCCAATTTAAGAGACCATTTAAACAAAAGAGGTTCCGTCTCCAAGTGAGGCAGACGGGGTCCAGGTTTTCTGAGTGTTCTCATATGGCTGATGAAGAAAATATGGCTGATTTGTTTGTTCCAAGCAAACCATTAAAGTTATTAATGCCTTGTGACCCAGGACTCCATGTGACCCATGGGCCCTGACTTCTTGCAGACTGGTTCCTTTGCTTTGGTGAAAATGGGAGGAACAACCGAAACACATTATAATGAAATTGCATTGGTAGTAAGCACGAGTGGCCCTGTCAGGTGGAAAGACAATCAAATAGAAAAATTAAAATGCAACACACTTGAAGCTGCTGGTCACATGGTAACAAACTCCACATAACTAAGTCCACCTGGCTGAACTAGCCCCACCTGCAGGCAACCAACAAATAAGTAAAGGAAATACATTGCTAAAACCAGAAGGTGGTGCTTAGAAAGACTGTCACTGAGAAATCACCACATTCAATGGCAGATATGTCTAAAAGATCTTTGTACCAAAGACTGATGGAATGATTCTACTTCTCGCTTTCCTTCTACTACTCATGTTTTCCTTTACAATCTTTCTTCTTCTTTCCTCTTTCTTTGAAAATGTTGTTTTGGTTGTTTGTTAAGTAACAGGTATACATAGCCGGCTGCTTCGAAGATACACTTATATGACAAATTCTACAGCTAGACACTGGGAAAGTCCTCTAAAGACCACATTTAACAGTCAGCACCATGCACACTATGCATATTCTTTAGATATAAATGACAAGTGCTAACACCTCTCTCTCCAGGGACTCCTTAATTCTCTGTTCCTCTCTGAAGGTCACTACAATTGAGATAAAAGAAGTTCCAGGAAGGCCACACTCAGTCCATCCCTATAGTTTTAAATAGTCTTTATAAAACATTTTCAAAAATATTTCTTTTTAATTTTTAATTCTAAGTCACAGAAGGCTGATGTGTACATGTTTTGTCTTGTTCTCTTGTCAAAGGACATCAGTTTTGGATGTAATAATCTGTCTGCATCCAGCCCCATCATATTCATAGGGGCAAGCTAGCTTTCAATGGGAAAAAGCATACTGCCTTTATTACAAATTAAAGGCACAGCTATTTCATGCCATTTGTTACCAATTTAATGATAACATGTAACACTGAATGGTTATAGAATTATCTCATATAGATTTTGTTTTATAAGTTATTTTCTTTCTTTCTAACATATATACAATATACATACATTAATATATACATATGTATATACATATGTATATATATATATATTCCCCTGATAAATATTTTTATTAAGATAAAACATCAATTACTTTCAGTTCTGTGGTAAATAATCAAACATAGTTCTTATCTCATATCTCACATTGTCACTAGAGAAATGACGGTCTAGGGGACCTTGCTAATACACTTTGTTGATGTCCTATCATTGGTGTGCAATGATCTCAGATTAATTTTTCTTGACAGCACTAACAGTTAAAAGTATGTTAGAGGTTTATGTCACATCAATCAGAAAAAGATAACAACACAGCCATAGCTCATGCTTATGTCTGTCTTCATACATTCCTATTTAAAGCAAAACCTTTAGTTATGCCGCTACTGGAATGACAAAAAGGGTTATTTCAGATGACTAGTTATCTCTGTTTTTGTAGATCTATGCTCATGTTTTCATCATCATTTGAGATTATGGTAGTTCCTTGGATTTAGAAACACTTATACTGATTTCTTACTACTTGCCCTTGACATGGGTTGATCAGTTTTCAATATATTGCAATTCTGAACACTTCACTTTCTCCAGCAATGCCTGTTTCAAGTGGGAAACTAGTATTTGCTGAAGTGTTCTTTTTGTTACCTCTCCAACCCTAAGCATACAGGAAGGGGGTGCTAGCCATGTAGGCTTCCAGGATATCATCTGCTGCTTTTTTGTTTGTTTGGTTGTTTAATGATTATAGGTATGAAATAGCTGTTCATTCTACCTTTTGCAATTCTTTAAAGCCTAATGGCAAAGATTGAGACACAGCACTATTGTTTGACAAGACATCTACTGTATCTACATTTGTTTGGATACATACCCAGTAACTGCTGTCATAGCCAGAGGACCAGCAAGGACACTACTATTCACAGTGTTGCTTTTGTTTTTGTTGCTTTTTTCTTTTATATATATATATTATTATTATTATAATCTACAGAGTAAATTATCATATATACATTGGAACCAGTTAATGCCCTTAGACAATGTATAATTGTTTTAGAAAGCAGGAAAGACAATGCAGGGGAAACAGGTGCCCAAAAAAGCACAAAGTCACACAGACTTCTGCAGGTCTAGATACCGCTATGAGTCAGTGCTGGAGATAACTTCTAAAACAGTGTTCAAGAAGAATGCTTTAATTTGGAGAAAATGTCACGCCTTCCCTCCCCTCCCCCAGCCCCATACCCACCTTTTTTTTTTTTTTTTTTAAATAATCTTTTCATTTTACTATCAAAAGTCCTGGCTCTTCAGATACACTTTAAACTATAAATAAACACTGCATAGTTCTCTTTTGTTTGATTTTAGTTTCATTTTTGTCGTCTTAAAAATTATTGCAGTACAACACCTCCTGTTCAGAGTTTAGTAAGGAGCAAAGAGCACAGGAGTGTGGGTGGTCCGAATGGGTCCAGGAGCTGGCCGCAGGAGGGCCGGAGGAAGGGCAGAGGTCTGGAAGAGGGTGGCTGCTGGAGCAGTTCGAAGACTGAAGGGGGAATTCACTGCCACAGCGGCTGCAGCTGCTGCAGCTGCCAGTGGATTAGGAAGAATTCTGGGAGCCAGTGGCTTGGAAGGTTCTTTTGAAAATACTATTTTCACCTGCAAAGAAAAGAAGTTTAAAATGGATCAAGAACAAAAGTGACATTGTTTGGAGTTGAAAGCCAAAATGGTAGGCCATAGTAGTGAAGAGCTACTGAGTGTTGGTGACAGGACAAACTAAAATGGAAAGTGTAGAATTGATTTCTTTGAAAAGATAGAAGATAATGACCACAAGGCCACTAAGCACGCTTAAGCATCCTTCAGAGATAAACTCAATATATATATATATATATGTATATATATATATGTATATATATGTATGTATATATATGTATATATGTGTATATATGTATATATATGTATATATGTATATATGTATATATATGTATATATTTGCATTTTATTGGAAATTTATACCTCCACAGGAGGCTGCCCTCTTGAAGAAAAGCACAGAAGGCTGTGCTAATCTTTACACATTCAGCAAATAGCATGCAACAAATACTTGTTTTAAAAATGACACTACTTACACTGCCATGCTTTCTACTCTAGAAAGCATATTTGATGTATTTTGAGAGGGCACTTTCTAGTACCTGTTTTTCCTGGTACCTAAATGCCCTTCTATGCATCATTACACAAAATCTAAACCGCATCCTTGAGGTACTGTTTTTAAAATAACAAATTTTGGAGGGTATAAAATTACAAACATGCCCAGACAAAATTTAACAAACATTTTAACACAGTAATTTAAGGACTTGACTATCGCTGACACCCTTTCTGAACGTGTGCGATAACATCAAGACTATATTCTAAGTGATTGTTCACTAGGCTCATAAGCCTGGCTTTTTTCCAGTCCTGTTCTTAGGGACAAATCTTAGGTTAAATAGACCATCTGAGGGGAAAGGTAGCAGACACTGGAACAAGTGATGTGACTCAGTGTTCCATTGGTGGAGGGCAGCCCAGACCAGAAACACACCTGTTACTAGTTTCTTCATTAGAGTACCTCTATTCCACTTAGTAACTGACAGCTTCGACCTCAAATACCTCTAAAGCAGACTGTGGCGGCATAAACAACATCATATTCTCTTTGAGCAAGGAAAAGTATCACTCACCCCCAGTGGATTTGCTGTCTTCTGCAGTTTGTTGTAGGGACTGTATTTTGGTTTGGGGGGTTTCCCAGCAGCTCTGTCTTTGTGCCTTCTACTGCTAATATGCTATTAAAAGCAATCAAAATGACAGCTTTTAAAACACACATTTGAAACACTTCCACAAATATTGTTTTTACCTGGAGAAATACAATGCTGATTTCATGCATGTTTCACAAAGACAAAAGGAAAGAACAGAGTATAATCCTGCCTTTGGATCCAGAAGCTGTTCACACTACTCATTTTAATATATTTTTAATAAATAGAACAATTTTCTTTTTTGCTCTGCTTTTGGCTTATCATAGCACACTTCTCCAAAAAGTATTTACAGAGGAAAGGATGTCTGAAGGAATTTTATGTGCAAATAAACAAACATGCCTAGACAGGCATGAATGAATTTCCATACTAATATTTATCCTCATATTTGTGCAGCCAAATGCCAACCCCTTAAATTCTAAAAATAAATAACTAAGGTGCAAAATACCATCCATCCACAAAACACAATACAATAAGAGGGCTGGACCTTCAGCTGTAAATGCACCATTGCTTTCTTTAGCAGGCTATTTGGAGCACAAATGAGTGTCCATTGTTAGTCATTGCATCAGCAGGTGGCTGTAGGAATTACAAATACAGTACAACAGATACAATGAAAGGACATGAAATAAAGGAACAGCATAGTATGAAATTGTAGCCTAAAAATGTCTAAATAGGTAAAATTAGAACATTGTATATTGATTTTTAAAGAAAACTAACAGTTTTGAGTGGAAAGGTCAGTAAAGTTCCCATATCCCTTCTCTTTCTAAAGTGCCCACACAAGGAACAGACAAACTCGTTGCCAACAATTTCCAACTTGTTTTATTTATTAACCACTGCATCTTAGTAATCCCCCAACAACTAAAATAAACATATGTTAAAAATAAAAACAGTGAATAAAAGACAAATTAGGGAGTGAGTAGATGGATGGATGTACTAATGAGTGGATGAAGAGGTAGTTAGTTGGATACCCTGGTGAATGAATGTATGGATGAATGAGTGGAAGGATAGGTAGATGACTTGGTGGATAAATGAACTGATTGATGAATGGATGGTGGTTCCTTAGATGAATGGGTAGATTAATGAGTGGTTATATGGATGGTTTTGTGCATAAGGTGGATGGGTAGATGAATGAATTATGAATGGGTGAGTAGATGGATGGGAAGGTGGATGAATGGAAAAGAAAGACATGAGAAGAACAGGAACATATATAGACTTCTCCCAGGTGGCCCTTTTGGCTTTCAGTTTTATAGTACCTGTTTGAGTTGTGTTTCCGAGTTGACATGCACATCACATATTTCACAGTGAAATGTTTTGTTTTGGAGGCCCGTGTTTCCCTTATTAACAGGTCCTTTGCCCTTCATTCCTGCCCGAGGAAAGGCCTTGATAGTCCCACTTCCATTGCGAGCTTCTAGCATTGTTTTGTGCTTAGTACCTACCAGGGATATTTAGAAGAAAAAAAAAAAAAAGAGAAAAAATAGAAAGAAGAGAAAAATAGTATATTAATTACAGCCTTCAAATGGGACACCACACCTGAGGTGGTACTGAAATATATCCAGGACACGAGATTGAAAAAGGGATCTTTTGTTTCATAAGACAATATTAAATTATTATTAGCTTTTTAAAATTATAAACTTTTTAAACTTATCACATAAAGCACTATATGTAAGTAGTGTAATTCAATGACAGGTCTGGGGCAAAATTCAATGGGTGTGATTTTATGTCATTTATTCTTGGTACTAATATGACATAAATGATAGCTGATAAGGAGGGTTGACATGTTTGCTGAAGGTATGGTTGGAGTTGGTGTGTGTACCAAACATAATCATTTTAGGCATTATAGTTTTATACCATTAAATACCCACCTATGAACAGAATACAGACAAGCTTTCCTGTCTCTGTGTTTCAGGCTCAAAGAGGAAGAGTAATAATAGTGTACAGAACTCTTGAATATTCATAAAAAACAATGTTGTGAGTATGGTACAGATTACATCATGCTCAACAAGAGACAAATCCAGGAAAGAACTTCATAGTCATATTTTCCTCATTCCTAAAAAGCATTACTTCACCAAGTACACATAAAAAAAGTCCTTTCCTATAATGTAGGCTGCTCAATTTGATGATCACTGCTCCTAATGAACAGCTATCAAAGCACTCTTGTATCAAGGAAGAGAATGGGGACCTGCACGAAGAGTGTGTGCAATGATGCTTGAGCCACAGAGTGGGCTCATAGTGATGGCTGGAATGCCTCATTGCTTGTGTTTGGTGATCACCCTTGCAGTTTGGGGTATGCAAATGCTTCCCATGTCTTCTGAAGATGGAAGAGAGTAAGGGACACTATTTTCTCATGGAGCAAGCAAGACATATGTGGATGGCTGTCTGAACAGCTAATTTTTACAGATATTTCAGACAAAATGGAAAGCACTTATGAAGTCATTTTAGTTAATGTGTAAGCCAATTCTCATTCTGATTTTCATGATTGATACTTGTTCCACTTAGCTTCAAAGTCTTTGTGACTTGGAAGTTGGAAGTGGTATCTAATATGTAGAAAACATACATACATACATACATACATACATACACACACACACACACAGGAAAAAAAATCTAAAAATGTCACAAGAATGGTATAACAAACAAGTAACTCATCCTTGGCTCTCTAACTACCATTTGTCCTAAAATAGAGACAATTTTTGTGTACATAGTTGTAGAATGTCAGTTATCATAAATAGCTACTATATACCTTTCATAAGATTTTCAAAGTATGAACAAGCTGTGAAGGTAGCTACATTTGTGAAGGTAGCCTCATTTTCTCTAAATATAGTTAAACTTCAGAAGAAAAGAAGTATACTCTTAATTTTAAAGCATTTATGTATTTGAGAGAAAAATGTGCATTAACAACACAAACATCATGGCTATTAAAAAGTTACCTCATTTGCATTTCAGAGGCTATGCTAAAATTTCTCCTGCACACTGCCACCCTGAGTTCAGTGCTATTATTATCCCCTCTCTAGAGATGACAAAACAGGTGCTGAAAGGTCAGGTTACTGGCATGTGGTCATTAAGCAAACACCATTTGATGTCCCAGTAAACAGAAAATGAATTCCTAGCTATGTTTCCAAATACTAGGGACTCCCAAACCATTAGGGCAGAATGTGTGCTGTTTCCTGTGTGCTAAAGAAGAAAAAGGACTTAAACTTGCATACCCAAAATGCATGCTGAACATCACAAGTCCTCCAGGAACTCTTCAAGACCATTAACTATAAAATTAGTCTTTTGTCACCCAGATCCCCATATAGAATGTATCTTCTATGTTAATTACATTTATATTTTGTCTTTTGGAAAAATGAAACAATATCTTCACAAAAATCAATCACATAGAATGGTATCCATGGTGTCAGAGGATCAACCAAAGCCATATGTGTTTAAAAATTATAGTATTCCTGACATTCTGGCAGAAGGCTCTACTAGATGCCACACTAGCACCCAGATCCTGAAGTAACACCCCCCTAACACACACACACTTTTTGTTTTGTTTTGTTTTTCGAGACAGGGTTTCTCTGTATTGTGTTGGAGCCTGTCCTGGAACTCGCTCTGTAGGCCAGGCTGGCCTTGAATTCACAGAGATCTGCCTACCTCTGCCTCCAAAGTGCTGGGATTAAATGCATGCACTACCAACACCTGGTAGCCCCACCCCCAATTTTGGACTACCAATACTGCCCCAGAACCCTTGCAGCCTAACCCAAACAATTCCTCTTCTCCTCACTACTCTACTCTGCCCATATCTCCTGCCAGATCTCTAGCCCCCTACTGGCCTATAGGCTCCCCTGCCACCAGAAGTCCAGTCTCCAACTTGGGCAGAGACCCTCTACTCAAGCACAGGCCATTTTAGCAAGAAAACCACAGAGGAAACAGAAATAAAGGAATAAAACACAAATCCAACAAAGACAAACTAAAAAAAAAAAAAAATAATAATCACCTATACCTATAATCACTCCAAACCCAGTGTAAGAAGACAGGCCAATATGTTACCACCAGACCTCACCCATCCTAATACTGTAGGCACTGAATATTTCAACACAGCTAAAACACAAGTAAAAAAAAACTATAAAACCAACATTACAATGATGATAAATTCCCTTAAAGAGGAGCAGAACAAATTCCTTAAAGAAATCCAGGAAAACAAACAAACAAAGAACAATTGGAGGGAATGAATGAATACCTTAATGACAGCCAAGAAAAAAACAAACAGTTGATGGAAATGAATTAAACTGTTTAAAACATGAAAATAAAAATAGAAGCCATAAAAACACAAACTGAGGAAATTCTGAAAAATAAAAGTCTAGTTAAGTGATCAGGAACAATACACACCAGTATTAACCAACAGGATACAAGAGATTGGTAAGAGAATCTTGGGTGTTGAAGATACAATAGAACAAAAGACAAATCAGTCAAAGAAAATGTTAAATCTAAAATATCTCTGACAAAACATCCAGGATTTGTCAGACTATGAAAGACCAACTCTAAAATAATAGTAATAGAAGAAGAATCCCAGGTCAAAGACCCAGAAAATATTTTTAACAAAATCGTAGAAGAAAAATTTCCTAACCTAAAGAAGGTCATGCTTATAAAGGTAAAACAATGTTACAGAATACCAAATAGATTAGAACAGAAAAAAAATGCTTTCTCTACCTAATAAGCAAAACACTAAAACATGCAGAACAATAACAAAAGGAATATCAAAACTGCAAAAGAAAATGCTCAAGTAACATATTAAGCAGCCTTATTAGACTTATACCCAACTTCTCAGTGGAGCCCTTGAAAACCAGAAAGGCCTGGAGAGATGTCCTGAAGACTTTAAGAGAATGCAGTTGCCAGCCCATATTATTACACCCAGCAACATTTTAATCACCCTAAATGGAAAAAATAAGATATTCCATGATAAACACAAGTTTGAACAATAGCTATCCATAAATCTAACCCAGCAGAAGGGATTAGAAGTAAAAGTCCAACCTCAGTAGATTAACAATACCCACAACAACACAGGAAATAAATAATATCACACATACACACACACACACACACACACACACACTCTACCACCACCACCCCAACCATTGCCGCCACTGCCACCACCACCAACAACATAATAACAGGAATTAATAATCATTGCTCATTGACATATGTCAATATCAACAGACTCAATTTGTCAAGAAAAAGACACAGACTAAACAAATGAATGGGAAAACAGGATCAATTCTTCTGCTACATACAAGAAGCATAACTGAACATCAAAGATAGGGATCACTTCAGAGTAAAGGGTTGGAACAAGATTTTCCAAGTATGTGAACCTAAGAAACAAGCTAGTGTAGCCACCCAAATAGCTAATAGAGCATACTTCAAACCAGGCTCATCAAAAGGCACAGATTATATTTTATACTTATCAAAAGAAAAGTCAACCTAGATGATTATTTTTTAATTTGTAACATCTATGCTCTAAATACAAGGGCTTAAATCACACACTGACCCACACACAACTTAAAGTGAAAGACTTCAAAACACAACTCTTACCAACAGACAGGTCATTCAGACAAAAACAAAAGCTAACAGGCATTATGAACCAAATTGGCATAATAGATAGCTATAGAACACTTTACCCAAACAAAAAGAATACCTTTTCTTTTCAGTATTTCATGGAACATTCTCCAAAACTCACAATGTACTAGGTTGCAAAGCAAATCTCAACAGATACAAAAATTTGAAATAACCCCCCATGCAACCTATCAGACTACCATGTAGTAGATTTCAGCAACAACAGAAAGCCTACAAACTCATGGAAACACAACTCTCTACTAAATGACTACTGTGTCAAGGAAGAAATAAAGGAAGAAATGAAAGACTTCCTAGAATTCAGTCAAAATGGATGAATAGCATACCAAAATGTATGGGGCACAATGGAATTGTTCTAGGAGGAAAGTTCACAGCACTAAGTGCTTTCAAACACACCCAAGAGGAGTAGATAGCAGGTAATACTCAAGCTAAGGGCCAAAATCAATCAATAAAACAGAAATAAAGAGAACAATATAAAGTACCAATGAAAGAAAGTTGTTTTTTGAGGAGAAAAAAAATCAACAAAATAGACAAACCCTTACCCAAACTAAATGACAGAAAAACTATATATATATATATATGTATATATATATATATGTATATATGTGTATATATATGTATGTATATATATGTATATATATATTATATATAAATTAATGAAACCATTAATGAAAATGGTGACATAACAGTAGTCCCTGAGGAAATCCAAAAAAACATGTAGCACATCTCCACAATGGAATACTACTCTGCAGAAAAAAATAATGGTATCTTGAAAATCATAGGCAAGTGGATGGCACTTGAAGAAACCATCCTGAATGAGGTAAC